TGTACCTTACCTGTAGTAAGTGGTTTGATTTTCAAAAGCACTGAACACCCAGCAGCTTCCATTGAAATCTTTTCAAAATCAGGCCGTTCTGTGGAATGTAGGTGCCCATCTGTGGAAGCAGGAGCCTAACTTTAGGCACCAAATTTGAAAATTTTGGCTTTTTCCTACAATGAAGCATGAAGAGAATGACGATGGTATGCGGGGGTAGGGATCAATTTGCATGGATAGAAATGCAAGATTGAAGAGCCATAAATGGGATGGAAAACACCTGCCTCAGAGATTTTTTTCACTTTCTCAGAGAAATCTTGTCAGACTGTTACAGGAGCATGAACTTGTGAACCTGGCTGTGACTGATGAGTCTGAGGCAAATTTAGGTCACATGTTTTTTTTTATTTTATCTGTGCTGTGTGAGTCCTTATGAATCAAGCACGTACTAAAACTACACAGGAAGCAGCCTGGATTTCGAGTAAAGCCCATGAGAGAAGCAAAAAAATCACAATGCAGTGAACTGAAACTGCACCAACCAAGTGAACGTATATGTTGGCCACATTCTCCCACATGTGCTGCATTTGGCCCATCAGAGGGAAATGTTTCTTTCTGTAACACTAGGTTGTAAGCAGCTCATTTCCTGCAGATTATTTTTAATTTTTCTCTTTCCAATTCTGTCACCTCGAAATTCTGTGCAAAAATCCTTCTCAGAATGATGTCCTACTGCATTACACTAGTGTAAATCTGGGAACTGATACCAGCTTTCTTTTGCTATAACTGAGAGAAGATTCAAGTTCATCGTGCTAACCTGTCTTTATCCAGGCAAAAATCCCAGTAAAATCAATTAAGAATCCTGGGTGAGTAAGACTTGAAGTTATGACACAGTTATTATATAATGTGCTGGATAGGTTCCAAGGCAGAGAAGATTTACACTTTTGTACCCAATTTATGGCAAAGTCACATACCCTGGAATCTAGTTCTATTTCTGTACATCCCATTAGGCCACCATTGATTCAGAAACTTTCTGGTGACACTAAAAAGAGATCCCAAGAAGTAAATCATAGACTAAGTAACATGCCCAGGTCACAACCTTTCAGTATGAGAGAATTCAGATTAGGTTTCAGAAGGAACACTCAAAAAGCTTTATGTATCAATTAACCCAGGGCTGATAAAAGACAAATAATACTGAAACTGACATACAACAAGCCTATTTTGAAGTACAGTCTTTCACTTTTTTCCCACGCTGTGGGACACTTGAAGACAGCAGTAAAGAGCTGATCTGTGCCTAACAGGGAATTATCTACATCGTTTGCTGGTGTAGATTATTTTTGATTGGCAGATGTTAATGTGGTTTTCTTGCTGTTTGAGTTCAAGCTTTGGTTAAAGCAGTGGAATTGCTACCTAGTAATAGTCAGACAATGAGAACACGTCTCAATGTGGTTCTCACAGCTAAGCTAAAAAAGCCAGGCAAGCAAGCTCTCTGCTCACAAAGTGAATCTTATCAGTTGCTGGCTGGAGTTGGGGCTGGAATCCGTGTCAGAAAATGGAGCATTTGGCCTGGACTTCAAGTCAGTGCCTAAGGTTTGCTTGTCTACTATTGAGGGCTAAGAATTAAGGAGGCAGCTTTTAAGGGAAGTAAAACTTGAACAAGAATTTAATTAGCAGAAGAACAATGCTATATGATTGCTCATTTCTGTCCCTTCCCTGAGGTAGATGAGTCTCTACAGGGGATCTATGTAACACCTAGTTGTTTGTGGTTGTTAAAAACTAAGCAGATTATTAGAATGTTTTAACATGATATTTACATTGTATAGAACAACTTTAATATAAAAGCCTCACAAAGAGCAGTATGGTTTATAAATGTGTCCATTGGCTTTATTCTAATCTCCAGTGTGGAAGTCGTCTCTCAAAAAGACACGAGCTCAGGATTTGTTTTCTATAACAATCTTTGCCCTCTCATGTTCTAAAAATGGCGACTCTATTAATGTTCTGTTCGTGCTATTTTATCTCACGCTAGAGTTCCATCCTGCAAAGCGCTGAGCACGCTTGCATGGTGCTAAGTGCACTCAACACTCACTAAAATCTCTGAAAGTTGAGGGCACGCAGAATCTCTTAGGAATGTTCAGCGCCTTGTAGGTCCAAGTCCTCAATAAGGTAATAGATCCTACACAGTTTGGACAAATATTGTTGCTTTTACTTGCAATTTGAGGTTTTGTCCTCAAACTCTTACGCACATAAGTCCTGTCTCAGGTCCCCCTTTAGGAATTCTGCTTGCTATTGACTTCAAAGGGTTATCTTTCCTCCTTAGGACCACATTTTCCAAAGCACTGTAGAAACTTGTATTATCAGAACTGCCTGTATATGTCCATTTGCCTGCACACATGCTAATCAGGTCATTGTGTGTCTAGCTGCCTCATTTCTGCTTTGTATATGCCGATGGGTCAGTGTGAAAATTTCCTCAGAATGGAGACTGGCTGAGAACATGGTCCTGAATTCCAATCCTCCGTGTGCTTGTTGCCCTCATCCTTGAGCCATGATAACATGGAAAGATCTCCTTCCAAGGGTGCTTACTGAAACTAAAATGGCTACCAAGGGAAGTATAGTCGAGAGCATATAGGGAGCAGAAAAGAGTAGAGAGCAAAGATGTGCACCACTTAAATCCAGACCTCGTGGCTAGGAAGGATGGTCTTATGCTTAAGGCACAGAAGAGTGAGACAGGAGACCCTGACCTGGATTCTCTTTCTGACTCTGCTGCTGTTGTCTTGTGAAATTGGAACAGTAAGAGGCTAAATTCGTTCATGCTTGTGAGATGCTTTTGACACCCTTGAGCAGCAGATGTGCAAGACATTATAATTGCATAATTAGAGCCTGGCGATACCATGGATATCTGCAGCTCGTATTTGTGGATGTGAATAGAAAGTTTGTATCGAGAACCCTGTAAATTTGCAGCTTTTGTATCCATGGGTATCTGCATCTGCGGATATTCGCAGACCATTTTTTGCAGCTGTGGATACCAATTTTGTATCTGTTCCTGCGCCTTAAGTTCCATTCCTTTGCTCTCTCTGCCTTTCAGGCCTCAGGCTGAATACACTTTCTATACCAGTTTATGATGTTCGGCATATAGACTTGTTTATCATCCAAGCTTCATTCAGGCATCAATTTGTTACATGCAACTTCACCAGAGGCTACAAAGCAAATGCCATATTGTTAGGAAAAATACAAATATAACTCTCTAAAATCATGCTGTACAAAGCAATTTTTATTTGTGTATATGTAAGGCGTCTAACATCAAAGCATTACAGTACAAACTATGCACATTGCTCCAGCTTAAAATCAAAGGCCTAAAAGAGAATATAAATCAACCCTGTTTCATAAGGCTCACTTTTCTGATAAAAAGCTTGATTAAAAAAATCAGCTTTCCATTATTCAGGCAATGTAACAGCTTTGCAAGTGGAAACAAAATGAAATCTGCATTCACTCAGGTTACATTTACAAATCAGACACTGAATGCAAAAGCATTGTGGGAGCCAAATTCGGTTCTCGTTTATACTAGTGTGAATTTGGAATAGCTCTGGTAAAGTGACGGAAGTTATTCTGAATTTAAAATGTCACTGAGTGCAGAAATTGATTCTAGACGATTCTGGGGCTGACCCTGAGAAATATTGCAACTCTATTAAAACAGCTTTCGCATTTTACAGAAAAGGGACTAGTGATGTGACCGTAACAATCTATAGCATTTTTCCTTTATGAAGCATTATACAAATATCAATCAGTTAAGGCTAGGGCTGTCACTTAACCTGCATTAATACCTGTGATTAATGCAGGACAGGATTAACGCGTTAATTTTTTAATGCGTTAATTGCAGGCATTAATGATCCTTTGCCCTTTTGAAGTGCCGCTCCAGCACTTCAAAGGGGCAGCGCAAGAGGAGCCAGGTATTAGCTGGAATCCCCAGCTGATCCCGGGCTCTGCTGTTGCAAAGCCCCTTTGAAGCCCTGGAGTGACACTTCAAAGGGATTTTACATCGCGAAGCTGGGGATCAGCAGGGCACTTCAACAGATCTCCAGCTCTGCTTGCACTGCCCTTTTGAAGTGCTGTTTTGGCGCTTTAAAGGGGCAGCGCATTAGGAGCCGGGGATCAGCTGGGGACTCCAGCTGATCTCCAGCTCCTGTGTTGCAAAGCCCCTCTGAAGCGCCAGAGCAACACTTCAAAGGGGCAGCTCAAGCAGTCCCCAGCTGATCCCAGGCTCCTATTGTGCTGCCCCTTGGAAACACTGCCGTGATGCTTCCAAGGGGCAGCACTGCACGGAGCCTGGGGTTAGCTGGGGACTCCAGCTGGTCCCAGGCTCCATGCAGCACTGCCCAGTTGAAACGCCACTGCAGTGTTTCAAAGGGGAGGCGTGTGCGATTAATTGTGATTACATTTTTTAATTGATTGACAAACCTAGTTAAGGCTGAACCTGACAAGGACTGAGCACCTGCAACTCCCATTGAAAACAGTACTGGCCTGACTCTTCAGCTGGCTTCAGTCAGTCAGTATGGATCGGACTGGGACATAGTGTGAAACAACCGCTGTGTCTGTGGCTATAGTGCCTGAGCTCCATGACCATGACCATGTTTCTCCCTCATTTCTTACTGACTACACTGGATGTTGAGACTGGTCAATATTCTGCAAGATCCAGCCCCCTGTGAAGATGCTAATTCACTTTGTTTAGAGGGATCTTTCTTTTTTCTCCCATAGTGTAAGTATCACCCAGGGCTTGTCTACACTAAAGAGACGATCGACGCAGCCGCAGTGAAGACACGCTAATTCGAATTGAGAGGGCACTCCCATTGATGCTGGTAGTCCTGCTCCTACGAGGAGTAAGGGAAGTCGAAGAGAGAGTGTGCTTACATTGACTTTCTGCAGTGTGGACAGTGCCCAAATTTGAGTTAAGATACTTCGACTCAACCTGTGCAATTAAGATAACTGGAGTTGCATATCTTAATTCAAACATATGCCCTAGTGTACACCTAGCCTTACAGAGCACTGCATTCACTGATTCTTCCTCTGGCCAGGTTCCCAGTAACTTCAAAAGGAGCTTGGAATAAGTTGAGTGTGAATGAGGAATTTGGTTGCGTACTCAAAGTAAGAGAGTCCCTGACTTTAGATCTCCCCAGCAAAGCAGAAAACCATCTTGCACTCCCTCCTTGGCTATCATATATGGAAGAGCTCTGTTCTTGGCTCTTGCCAGTACGGTGAATTGTGTTGTCCAGAATTTCAACGAGGGCTTTACGAAATCTCTCCCCAGCAAATACATAGAGGAAAGGGTTCAGGCAGCTGTGAAGGAAGGCAATGCTCTGAGTTATCTGGAATGCAAGGTCAATGTTGTCCAAGGTGTTGCAGTCATATATGACCATGGTGTAGGTGTCGATAGTTTTAACCAGCAAAATGCTGTTGTAGGGCAACTGGAAGAGGACGAAAACTGTGATAATAAGGATGATGATCTTTAATGATTTGTGCTTTTGGAATCTTTTGGCTTGAAGAAGGGCATGGATTATAAAAGCATAGCAAGTAACTATGACAAAGAGAGGGAGGAGGAACCCTACGGTGATTTTCAAAGATAGGGCAGTAACTTTGATGGTTCTGGTAACACTGGGAGGATAAGTCATTTTGCAAGTAATTATATCATTAGCTTGCTTAGATTCGCTGTACACTATTTCTGGGATGCACAAGCCTATTGCAATAAGCCAAATGCCAAAGATAACTAGTTTACTGCGCAGAAGCCTTTTTTGCTTAGAGTTCTTAGCTTTCATTGCCTGGACTATTGTAAAGTACCTGTCAACACTAATGCACATTAGAAACAACATACAGCTGTAGAAGTTGATCTTGTACATGCTGTTGACAATTTTACACATGACATTCTTAAAGATCCAACCACTTGTAGCTGCTTTAGCCCAGAAAGGGAAAGTGAAAAGGAGCAACAGATCAGCAATGGCCAGGTGTAGAAGATAGCTTTCAATGACGGTCTTCCAGTATCTGTACTTCCAGAAGACCAAGATGACTAAGGCATTGCCCACTGTTCCAATGCAGAATATAATCCAGAAAAAGGCTGGAAGGAAAGTCTGAGCAAACTGCTGAGCACGGCTTTTTCCACATATGATGTCTGTGTGGTTAAATGGATTGCTGTATGGAGGTGACACCGAGCTATAACTCGTATGATAATCCAGTTTAGTCAAGTCACTCTGGGTGGCCTGCAGGGGAACATCAGATTAATTATATGCTGTCAAAATCATGAAATAAGAAACAGTAAAGGTGGATTCTTTTTTCAATAACCTGGGCACATATTCCACCGTGCCAAACTGGAAATTTAATGTCCTCTAGTGACTGTCAGGGAAATGCCCGATAACCCAATGAGCAAAGGTCACCTATGAAATTGTGGCATCTTTATTATCTAAACTGTTCAAAACTCCCTATATCCAAAGTCTAAACATTTCACCATCAGGAAGCCCCACAGAAGCAGAAGCCCAAACTTGGTCTATCAGGCTACATCTACACAGCAAGCCTCTTTCGAAAGAGGCTTTTTCAAAAGATACTTTCGAAAAAGAGCGTCTAGACTACAACCAGTACTTTAGAAAAAGCAAGCCGCTTTTTTGAAAGAAAGCACCCAGGCAGTCTGGATGCTCTCTTTCAAAAAAGCACAGTTTGCATTACATAGTGCCTTTTTTCGAAAGAACACTTTCGAAAAAAGGCTTTATTCCTTGTAAAATGAGGTTTTCCACGGTCGAAAAAACTGCTGCATTCTTTCGATTTACTTTCGAAAGAATGCAGCAGCAGGATAGACACAGGGGACGTTTGTGGAAACTTCTAGACACAGAGGAAATATGTTTGGTTTCCTTTGCTACATTTGGAGGACTCTCACTAGGGCTTGATCCATTTGACCCATGGGAATCAAGAGGAATCATTCCACTAATGTCAATGGGTATTGGATTGGATACTTGGTAGCGCATGTGATAACCTGTCATTGTCCCATACCTCATTGCTTGGAACCTGAATTCAGACATCTTTCACCCTCAAAATATGTTTTCTTCTTCAACTCAGAATGTTTGGGATAACCAGAAACCTCTAAATCAACTATGACTTATTGGGGATTCCCCCAATGCAGGTAGCTCCCTGTGGATGTAAAGCCAGAATGCCATCTGCCTACAATTCTGCACCACCATGCAGGGCACAGAGGTGCAAGAAGGGATATAGCTGATGTGCCTTGCAGTCTTGCAATACAGAAGGTCCTACCACCAGCCAGGGCAGTTTACATCAGACAGGATGGAGCCAGGCTAGAATCAGCTCCGTCATCAGGGACGTATAGCAGAGAACCTTGTGACTTTCCTCTTTTTTTGTGCCCAGAGGAAAGGGAGAGCAACTAAGTAACTGTCCGGATCAGGCATAAGGCTAAAATTTCACAGCAGACATGTCACTCTTGTGACCTTTTTGCTGCATTAGAACTTTTACTCTGGGCCTGAGTCTCATCTTAGTTAAACCAGTGTAACTACAGGGGAATTCCACTGAAATCAATGAGCCATTTTCTGATGTGGAGAGGTCTGCCATCAGTGGCACTGCTGCAGATTTACACCAGCCTGACAAAGATCAGACTCTGGCCTAGTTGCATAGGGCCTGTGTAAAACAGGAGTGACATCAGAATCAGACCATTTGCTTCTTACATCTTATCTACATAAATATAGATCTGATTTTAGCTGTGTGTATGAAATAAGTGAATGCTAGTGCTCTTTTAATACTACATTTCTAATCAGGGTACCTAGAAATCTTGCAGATTATTTCCACAGTGAGCACCTGAATCTTCTCATGTGTGCCCATCCTCTGCAGGAGGCAATTAACATAGCCACCCATTTACATCAACTAGGGATCTAGCTCCCCTACTATAACCTGCAGACAATGATTCTTAGCTCTCAGAGGTCTTCCATGATAACGTGCTTTTAAGACACGTACAGTGATAGTTTAAACTCTGCAGGCAAATTGACATCCAACATCTTTTGGCTGGACAGTGCTACAAGTTTAAGTGAACCGAGTTGTTTGAAATGGCTGGAGCAGCCATGACCGATCAGAAGTTTAGTGCTGGCTTGGGACAGTCCTATGATATGCCCAGCAAAAAATTGTCCAGTGAAAATTAGACGGCAGTAGTAAATTTCTACTCACCATGCTCATAAATACAGTCTGCAGTCCGATCTTTATTCAGTCTTGAAAAGAGCACTATGACCTTGAGAGGGAATAAAGTGGGTAAGTGATGAATAAAAAAAAAAGGCCTTCGCACAGGACTGAGATGAGTGTTCACAGAAAGCCTCTCAGCCAGATCCTACTGTCCTTTCTCTGGCTATGTCTAGGCAGCTGCTTTTTATCAAAAAAAAGCACAAGGAAAACAGGGCTTCTGAAAAAGCGCATCTGTTCGTCCACAAAAAATGTCAGAAGAGCAGATGTGTTCCCTGGATGCGGCGAAGTTTTTCCAGGATACTGGAGGTATCCCAGAAAAACTCTGTAGTCTAGGCATAGCCTCACACAAGTTGTCACTTTGAAGTCCAGAGGTTCTGTAGGACTACATCTCAATAGTGGCACTATTTTGGGATACCGGAAGTATCCCGAAATAGCTATTCCATGTCTTTAAATGCACCTGTTATTTTGAAATACATTTTGAAATAATGGGTGCGCTGTTCCAGCATCCCTGTAACCCTCATTCCACGATGGTTTAGGAACTTGTCAGAATAGCGCTTTATTTCAAAGCTCAAATTGTATCACTTATTTCAGCCTATGGGTGCAGTGTAGATGCACCCTAGAGGTAGGTCTACACTAGCCATCCTAGTTCAAACTAGGGTGGCTAATGTAGTCATTCGAACTTGCAAATAAAGCCCGGGATTAAAATATCCCGGGCTTTATTTGCATGTTCCTGGGCACCGCCATTTTTAAATGCCCAGTAGTTCGAACTCCCTGCCTGCGGCTACACACGGCACAGGTTAGGTAGTTCGAATTAAAGCTCCTAATTCAAATTACTGTTACTCCTCATTGCAGGAGGAGTAACTAGGGTGGCAGTGTAGACATAGCCTAGGGCTACATCTACACTGGGGCCAAATTCCAGAAAAGGGATGCAAAGCCTTCCTACCTTCAGGAAGGAATAAGAGATCCTCCGGAAAAGGGCTTTATTCCGGAGGATTGCGCCAGTCTAGACGCTTTTTTCCGGCTTTTCCCCAAGCCGGAAAAAAAGCGGCGGACATGTTTATTTAAATCCGCGGGGGATATTTAAATCCCCCGCGGATTTCCCTATTCTGACTTACCGGCTTTGCATCCCTTTTCCAGAATTTGGGGCCAGTGTAGACATAGCCTAGGGGAGTAAGATGAGCCGGATTTGACACTGCAGTTTTGACACATTTGCAGCTCCAATTTGATAGCAAAATGTTAAACAAACAAACCTCTCTAAGTATGCTAATGCCTTAATGGTTGCATTTAACAACATATTGTCTGCAGCTTTTCAAGTGCTTTGTGTAGACAACACTTTTACTGGAAAGGATTATTTCTGTTTCATTTTTAATAAACTGTACAGTCTCTGGGTTCACACTTTTGTTAAAAAAAAAAGAATGAATGGAAACTAACATGTTTTTCCAAAACCTCCTGTGAGTGAAAAAATATTATCTCAAATTATGTCACAACTAATTAAGGAAATCCACCCATTTTCACTGTCAGCCTGTCATTTAAAAATGCCTCCATTTTCGGCAATGACTTGTTTATCTAGCCTTTTTTATTCGCTCTGGGAAATGTCTTTTTGCATAGGTCATTATCTCTACTTGGGATTACTTTCCATTTTAGCCATTGATGGCCAGGAACCATGCAAAACCATAGGGTGGACAGGAATGGGTCCAAGGACACCTGTGATTTGCACCAATTGAGCAATCTTGCATTCAAGCAAGGATAAATAAACTAAGAGCAAATCATGGCTTTCCTTATCCACAGTTGAAGTTTGCACCAGTGCAGCTACGAGCAAATGACCAAATCCCAAACACTGGGAAGACCTAGAGTTTTCCCCTTAAATACTATTAGCCAACTAAGTAGGTGACCAGACACTCACTGGATCTCTACAACTAAATGTCTGGAGTTCAGTCGAAATCATTTGTGTCACACTACAAACAGGTTTCATCGTGTAGCCAAAACTGACATGCAAAACTGATGACCACAACAGCAGAGTCACAGTAAATAGTGCTTGTTCCAAGGGGCAGTGACCAACGTTCAAGTGCTCGTTTCCCTAAAAAATAAAAGAAAAAATCTCCCATCTCAGTTTCTCATCTGAGTTGACTCATAAAATCTCTCCTGATCTTATTAGTTGTGGGTGGAGATCTGTCATCCGACCCAAGCACTGTACTATCCCTAGCTATGCTATTAATTTTTAGTGAGACGACAATCTCATTCTGTTTGTGTGTGTGCCCGTGGGACAGTGTCAAACATAACCGTTAGCCTTAGGTCTAAAATCTTTGATACTTGCTCTCAGCCCAAAGGTACAGGTTTAAAGAAAATCTACTCAGCTTTTTTGGAATTAAGGGTCAAAAAACAACATTTCTTTCATGCAGTATTTGGATACTTGTTATCAACCCACTCAAAATAATTTTGTTCTAATAGCACTGTCTTTGGAACTGATTTAACCACCTTTTGTCATTGTGAAGGGGCTACTTATACGAATATTGCAACTTCCAAGTAAGATTTGGAAAATGCAGTCTTTGTACGTACATCACTACTAGGTATTAGCTTTCATAAGATCTGGTGAAAAATAGATTAAGAAATAACAAAATTAAAAATAATGAAAAATATGCCCTCTAGTAATTTTAATCGTATAAAATTATAGAGGTATGAGAGTAAAACTCCCTAGAGTTTTATGCATTGAAATACCTTCAGTAGATTAATGTTTATGACTATATATCTGATGTGGTGCATTTAGTTGAATTTGTGATCCCATAAGGCTCACACTATAGATTGTTTGCCTCCTTTAAAAAAAAACAAAGAAATTAAATGCCTAAAACTGTGTTAATGCCACAGTGCAGATGGGAATTTTACAGTAGTAAAAGCAGACAGATTGAAAGTCCCCCAGCTGGAAAGAAATCATAAATTAGTCAGACTACACGTAAATGCTAAGGCACAAGGCAGCGTCAAATAAAAATAGTACATAGGAATGGGGTGCTATTTTACTATTCTAAGATGCATCATTGTAAATTCAAATAATTCCCCTGGAGACAATGAAGTTGTCTGTATTTAGGCTGGTGTAATTGAGGAGCAAAAATCCCCACCAAAAGCGATGTCAGAAATACACTCTTACTAGAGTGTGTGTAACATGATAGCCACAAAGTTGATTTCATGTGTGCCAGGGGGAAGAGGTGCTATTATTTTACGCAGCTTCATTTCAACTGTTCAGAGATACTTTAGATAAAGAAGATATTGACTCATTTCCTACAGCAAACCTGGAATGGCGTGTGGAAAATAAACAGAAAAATCTTCGCCCTTGTGCTGGGAAGAGGCTAGGAAAGAGTTGGGCACTTACCAGTGTCTGCAGTTCCTTACTGAGTCAGGCTGTCAGTCACTGCATTGGCGGCCCCAGCTAACCATGCGCTCCTGAAAAGTGTTTGGCATTCAGTGAGGGTGTAGAAAGGTGTATGCCTCTAGGACTCTGGTCTGGGTGAATCTGCAGTTGGCTTTATCTGTGGCTTGAGTTGCATAAATGAGGTAAACCAATCACCCTCCCTCTTGCCCTAGAGTTCCAGTGAGCCACACCCTGAGGTTTTTGCTGTGCTGCACAAATGATGGTTTTGAACTATATTTCCCCCCTCTTAGAGGTGAGTAGTTGGATCCCTGATGCCTGTGTAAAAGTTTTTCTGCTAGCATCTATCTGACCACACAGCAGCTAATGCAGAGTAAGCCTGAAGTGCACAGTGCCATGCCTGCTCCCTCCTTTGCTGGGAATAGCTGAGCCAAAGAAAGAGGGGTGAGAATGAATGAGTTGCAACCATTTATCCTAGCCTCTACACACTGGCTGTGCATGGTTAGCACTGCTGTGGGGGGGCCTTGTTTTCTCCTCCTCCAGGGATTCACTGTACACAGGCAGGGAGGATGGTCCAAGTTGCAGTAATGTCTGCTTTCTTCCAGCCCACTTGACAGATATGTGGCTGCCAATGAGGGACAATTCTGGTGGACAGGCAGCATTGTGATTGGCTGAGGGAAGGATTGGTGCTCACACCCAACCCTTGTCCCCTTCCTCTGGTTCAGCGCAAGCCTTTCCTGAGCCAGAGGAAGGCTGGTGTTTTGCTGCAATGTGCCTGACTCACCCCTCACCACCAGCACCACCCCAAGGCCTGACCACAATTCTTTTCAGCAGCAGAAAGGTGGGGCCAGGCAGGTCGATTTGCATTGTGTCAGGCTCTGGAAGGACAATCGGGGCCTCGGGAGACAGAAGGATTCTGCCCTGTGGCTGCCATTTTTCTTGGTCTCACTTTGTTAGGCAATCATCAGCCCGAATGCACAGACCAATTAAGGCTCCGATGCTAGGCAGAGGTTCTGCTTGTGCTAATTCCCATCGTTGATAGCATTGAGGCCTTGCCTGTGGTGACGTGTTCGTGTAGCCTCATTCCAGTGGGGATCTGCGACCAGACACCAAAGTTCCCCTGCATATTTGGCGATGGGGCTGGGCCTCTGACAGAGGGCATGGGAGAGCAACTTCTACAGAACCTTCTCGATTAGGGTCATTCAAGACATCTTCCATTGCCTGTGTAAAGTAGTCCAAGTGTTCACAGTGAGGACTGGACCCCTCCGGAGGGGGGGGGGAAAATCAGGGCCCCTGTGGTGAGCAGATCAGGACTAATCCCACTCAGGACTGATCTGTGAGGTACAAATCTGGATGTAACATGAACTGGAGACGACATTGGTTAAGGAAGCTACGAAACTTGGCATAATAGCTGTTGAACTTGTCCAGTAGGGGCAGCTCGGTCATTTAGAAAGTGGATGTGAGAACTGCAGGGACAGACGGCAATGCCTTGGCTCCTACGTAGGCCTGGAGGGCTGCATTCTGCTCACGGAGTGCTGTGACCTGCGCTCACCATTCCCCAACAATGTCTGAAAAGGTGAACTAGGCTCCTGCTGGGGCGTTTCTGTAGGGAAGATCCACGCCATAGGCCGATGGTCCCTCCTGCCTTCTGCTGGGCTGCTCAGACTATTATACACCGAGGTGTAGGCATT